GATATTTCTCGCCCACTATGTAGGAAGTAAGATTCAAAAGTTCACGAACTGAGCCTGCAAAGGGAACATTTTTTGCAGTAGAGCAGAGCTTCTCCAATTCTCACTACTGGCGACCCAATTTTCAATCATAATTTTTATCGCCCCCCTTATATACTAATAATACGCTTTGGGCGTAAAAGCTACAAAACGATCTTAATTATAAACCGTACAAATTAACAAGATAAGTACTAAATCTTGTATTTGTTACATTTAAGTAATATCTATTTTAAGCAAATTACTTTTAAGTAATAGGATAATTATTGTTATTTCTCTTTTCTCCAATTTTTAAATTGGAACAGATTTCAAAATGATGCTTAATTAAAAATTTATTTCCCCCATCATCCATTTCTAAAAGTATAAATGTCATTAGAAAAATAGTAGTCTATGTTGCTCTCTATCCTATCCATCACATTTGGCATTAATATTTAAAGCGAGAAAACTTCAAAAAGTCTTAACCCGGGAGAGCAAGCGCGCACTCAATACTAACGTTAAAAGTCGCGAACTGAGTCACTTCAATGTGTTTTCTTTGTTTTTTTACAATTATTTTTTATTGCACACGATAAAAATCACAATTCCAGTGAATAATTTAAGAGAAAATATACTTACCTACTTTCAAGGACTTTTCCTTTTTTCTTTGATAATTTGATAAAAAAATCTATTCAAGCTGAACTAAAATATTTCAAACGTACGTAACCTTAACAAAGGATACAAATCACAGACACTTTTCACTCCCATTACAGGAATGATATTTCAAGCAAAACCGTCATATTTTGTTCAAATTATTTGACTTTGAGCCCCGCGCGACCGCTCCCGTGTTAAGAGTGTATTCAATATATCGTTGGGTGGATGACTTGAGTACCCAGCTCTTTCAAGCTACAACCTCATATCAGTAGGTATTTGAGTGACTGTAATTGATTGACTTTTTTGCCCTTTGTTAAGTATATTCAATATAAAAATATGAATGTTAGTTCTAAAAAACCAATTGTGTAAAACGCGTATTTCATCATGTTTTACATGTTTCAGAATACTCATAAAAAATAAATCTTTGCCAAATAATCCTTCAAGGACATAACTAATTGTTACACTTACTGGTAAACTAACTCAAATTTTAGCAAAGCAAGCAGTGAAATTTTTGTATCGATGAGGCTTGAAGACGAAAGCAGTTTCTTAAAAATGGCTTTAATAATAATCAAGGATAAAGTCAATGTGCTCGTTACTGGAGCGATAAAAAAAACAACAATAAGTTGACTAATAAAATCTTAGTTCAAAAATCAACATTACCAGACATCCGATTCGAACCGTCTTCTTACAGTCTAATATTGTAAAATGAATTTATAATCTGAAAATGGTGATGCAACATACAGTTGCATTGCCAACCAGCCGCTCTCTCCCTCCCTCTAAGAGCTAAAACACTCACACACTTCTTATATTTCTTTTTCTCCTCCCCGCCTGAAAAACTAACACGAGCCGAGTTTAAATAGTCGCTCGATTTGCATTGCAGTTGCTACCAACCACAAATCACGAAACTTGCAAAAAGATCGGGTTCGAATCGGTTTGTTTACTTTCATTGAGATCATGGAACGGGATTGGAAAAACAACACAAGGAGATCATAAAAATTTGGATCCGAAAAATATTTCGAATGGTTTTACTTTTTTAAATGTCTAACACTAATCATACCAATAAGTTCTAAAGTCAAACGATGAAAACGATGATGACTGACGCAAATCTGCTTCCTGGGTGAAAAGTGAATAAGTCTTCTTTTTCTTTCTACAGCTAATATACAACATTTCAATAATAATAGTAGTGATGAATTTTTTATCTCCCAAAACTTTTTCTCTGGGTCTGAGTTTTGGTTTTTTTCTGAAAAAGTAGTATTTTAGGTTTAAAAAGAAAACATAAAAAATCTCTCATAGTGCCATTACAGTAAATCAAACTAAATGGGGTTTTTTATTTACTTTTAGGATCATATATAGTTAATTAACGTATGAAAGTGGAAACTTTTATTTTTGATGAAGTAATACCGCAACTGAAAAATATAAATTGTATCAGTGTAAATGCGTGTTTTTTTTATTTGTCAGAAAGTAATTTGTTTACTTCGTTGCAGTAAATTAATTTTTGAAACCTTTTCTTCCGATATGCTTGCGGCCCCAGGAGGTGCGCCCCACAGTTTGAGAAACGCTACAGTAGAGAGACTACGATAACCTTTCTGTGTTACTGCGTTGTTCATTTCTAACAGTGATTTTTCCTAAATTAAGTGGTCTGTGTCTCTTCACGGCATCGTATTTTCTATGCAGATGCATTTAGTAACCGACGATTAAAAGAAATGATGTTTGTACAGCAGAGAATGAATGTCAAATTTTGTAGACTGATACGGAGACTGACGAAATGTTAAGCATATGAAGGAGGAAAGGTTCGATCTGAGTACCTTCCGTTCCGTACGCAAGTACTTTATCGACCACGCCAAAACGATCGTCTTTGCGTGATATTTGGAACTAGTTTATATAGATATACCGCCTCATACCCCCATGCCAGTGATTTGGCGAATAGGCGAGCGAACGATACCATACTCATGGCGAGCAGTTGCATCACTTTGTTGGTTGCGTCACTTTTGTGAGTCATGACATGGCTTGTTTGCGCGTCAATCTTTAACGGCTTGGTTGCTTTTGAGTCGTGGATAGATGGCACCCCGACTGCGGTGCGTGAAGGATGCGGTTCACTTTGCACGGTCAGGGGCACCAATGAAGGAGGGAAGTTTCGATCTGAGTACCTTCCATTCCGTACGCAAGTACTTTATCCACCACGCCAAAACGATCGTCTTTGCGTGATGTTTGGTACTAGTTTATATAGATATCACACCACCACACATATGTACAGCAGTGATTCATTATCACAAACTTAAGCTTTTGAGTGGCATCGACGTTTCAGGGAAAGTTGTGATGACGTGGAAGGCTCCAGACGTCCAAGGATTTCTCCCTTTACTGAACACATTGAAAAGGTTTCTGCGGCGTAGCGTAAGAACAGGCTTCAAACAACGACGGGGTGAAGACGAAAACAACTTTTTTGCCACATTATTCTTACTCCCCTGATTTTGTTCCCTGAAAATTCAGAATATTTCCTGAACTGGCGCATCGCTTGCAGGATCGTCGATTTCAATCTGCAGAGGAAGTTAAAAGAGCATCGCAAGTTGAATTAAAGAACATGGCTAAAAATGGATTCCAGAAATGTTTCGAGGACCTTTACAAGCGATGGAATAAGTGTGTTGTTGCTCAAGGGTCTTATTTCGAAGGATGGTGTGTTTCAGCAATTTAATTTGTAATATTTTTTAAGTTTTAAACTCAGTCCGTGAACTGTTGAATCTTACCTCGTATATATATAAATGGATGTTTGTAAGCATGAAGTCGCATCACTCCGACACCGTTCAACTGATCACTATGTAAATTGGTATGTAGATGTATTTTTTTTGTGGAGAAGGTTTTTGTGCTGTCCTCTTTGTTGAGTCTCTTCACCAGGTGGCTCTACAGTATATCAACTTTTGCACCTTCAATCAACCACCAAGTTGCCAACAGGGTCGCCATAAATGATGCCAACTTTGCTCTATCGCCAACATTTCGCTATGTTTCCATTGAATCGTCATTATAATATGAGGAACGGTGTCGCTTGTGAATGTTACAATTTTAACATAAAATAAATAGAACAGTAAGTAATGTGAACGTATTACACATCCAGACATACATTATTTAGACTATTTTAAACGTTAATTACACAAAATTTGTAACAATGAGTTACTTTCGCTGAGCAGAAATCAGCTTAGGAAGGTATTTTCAAAAATTGACCCATAAGAGAGTTACGGGGCATTATAAATTTAAAAAAAAATCCTTTTTATCAGCTGTTAGACCTTAACTCAGTGGCGTGACAGACCATGAGAAAAGCCAAAGTCTGCTGTGCCCAACTCAGTATACGCGACTTTAGGCCCTGAGGTGCATGAGCAGATGTTCCGAACAGGTAGTCAGTCTGACGCGAGACCCCAGTGTTAAGTTCCCAAGCAAGCTTGATACTCATTTATCGACCCATTGCAGTAGGGATGAAAGGCTGAATCAACCTTGCCCAGCTCGGAATTTGAACCTCGAACCTGTGGTGCAGAAGCGCGATGCACAAACCACTCAGCCACTGGGCTTCCTGCTATTACTACAGACTTAAAAATTAACAAATATGGTTTTCTTGCTCCGCTGAGAAATGCAATTTTTTTTTGTTTTGTTTAATTTTCAATTCACGTAAAACTAACTCATTATAAACTTCTTTATCCTTCAATCTGTATCGTTTAATTTTTCAATTCACCCGTGCGAAGAACGGGTATGCCATCTAGTAGTATTAAATAATGCGCGAGGATATATTTCTCAGCTCTGATAACAATATACTCTTAGAATTGTAGTTCAAGTGACTGGTTAAAGGCTTAAATACTTAGGCAAAGATAATGATTTTCATGAATTGATGCTATTTACTAACACCGCTCTGGGAAGCAAGAGTAGTTGGCGACGAATCTTGTCATTTTGAGCCACGACCAAGTGACGAGGATCACTTCTGATTTTGTATTTCACTCTCCAAACTTCCTAAGCCACCAACGTTAAAGCTTTCTATCTCAACATATTTAAGGTGCCCCAGTGCATCTACGCGATTGATCTTTAGGCACTTAAATTTTAAAGTATGTTCTTTTTCTGAAACAACACGAAGGTTAATGGCGGTAGATCTCATAATTTTGAACCATGGCTAAGTGACGAGAACGTCATCGGAACTGCTGGCACCTCCCGCACAAAGCTATTACTCAAAGCCAACAGCAATACTTGACAAAGTGAACGTGCATCATCCCCTCTTCACTGCGAGTTTTCGCCAGGGAACTAGAGCTCGAAACTGTGACAGGCATGACAGTTCAACAGCACGTATAGAAAGGAAAATTATTCGTCGTGTCCCTGCAGCGCAATGGATAGTGCGTTGGACTTCTAATCCAAAGGTTTTGGACTCCTTTCCCACCTGGGATGGCCTGATTTCACAAAATGTGATTTCTTTTTTTTTACTATACTACTTTCTTAGAATAATTAAATTTAATGTTATTGTCGTGTATTTATTACTGGAATACATACGAAAGACGTGAGATAGATGGACAGAAACATATAACATAATCACAGAAGAATACAGATTTTTCTTAAAAACGATCATCCCAGCAAAGAACAGTAGAGAGGTACACTACTTTCTTTCGAGACGGCAATCCATTGCAGGCGAAAGTCTAATTTCATTTCCCGAAGATACATCGATGCCTTACTTGGGATTCGAACCCGAGCCCGTTAGATTACAACTCGAGTGTCATAACCACCAACACTGGGTGGAGTGGCAGTTACATTTAATGAATTAATAACAAAAACAAACAAAAAAGTGCATCACTCTGTATAGAAAGGAAAATCGCTTTCTATTTTGCCACTTAATAGTGTGATTCTATCCCCTATGTATATACATATTTATATTAATGACAACTATGTAATAAAAAGTAATTAAAATAAAATTTTTCTTTTGATGGCCTTAGGGGGAATTGACTTAAAACAATTTGTTTTTATATTTCTTGTTACACTGGAGGTTGGTCCACCGTTAAGTCAACAAGTGTTTCCCTCCCTAGTAATTTTAATGTATTTATTTCCATCAAGTATATAAGCTAGATTCTCGATGCATATAATATCTGCGTGTAAAGCTGTTTACACTTGAATATTTGAGCTTTAAAAGTTGCCAGATGACGGTTAATCAAGACCGATCGAAAGTTAATACTTGACGTTGCCAAGACACATCGGACAGAATGTAAATTTACTTTTATGAAGCCATCAGCTGCAATGCCTGCCACTGAAATCGACCTCCAGTTTCAAAGTCGCACGAAAGAAAATATTTGTGAAAGCGATTGGATGGAGTGATTTATGCGGAGATGAAACTTAACTTGAAAGTGCTGTCAGCCCCATCAAGGGAACAAATGAGGGAAACTGAAAAGTGTCCGATGTTATGAAAATACAAAGAAAACGAGTAATATATTATGTTCATAAGTTTCAAAATAATCAGCTGCATATTTACTTTTGAAATTAGTTTAATCACAATATTCACACTACAATACACTAATATCTACAGATTCATTATACAGTAGAACGTCGTTTATCCGAATCAATTGGGATCGGACACTGTTCGGATAACCGAAAACCGAATGCGATCCATGCAGTATATGAAACCGGACAATATACGAATGTTGAAAATCATCACATGAAGGAAACGTGCTTGAAGAAAAAGCGAAATAGATGCAAAATGTCGCAATTTTATCTTTATTATGGGAAATAATCACTTATTTTTCGCTGTACCATTGCACACCTTCGTTTTTTCGCTGCAAGGTCTCTGAAAAAACTGGTCTGGATGTTTGACGCTCCGGATAATAAACGTTCGGATAAACGATGCTCTATTTTGTATACATTCTAATAGTTGGCGTGGCATTTTTTATATACGAAATGCTTTCGTTCAGTTACAGTTATTAATCTTTAACTGGTTGCAGTTACATACACCACATAATATTAAAAAAAATTAAGTCAATTCCTACTTAGATTAACAAAGAGAAGCATTTTATTTTAGTTACTTTTTATTAAATAATTACAATTAATATAAATATGTATATACATAGGACAGAATCACAACATTAAGTGGCTAAATAGAAAGCGATTTTCCATTTTCTTTTCTATATAGAGTGTTGAACTATTACTTTTGTTACTGTTTATTCATTCACAAATCACATTCTCAGAAATTAGGTCATTCCTGGTAGGATTCGAACCCACGATCTTTGGATTAGAAGTCCAACGCGCTATCCATTGCGCTACGGGGACACAACGAGAATTTTTCCTTTTTATGTATGGTGTTGGACTATTATTTTTGTTACTATTTATTCGTCAATTAAGCTTAACTAATGAATTAATATTTAAAAAATTGCATTAACATCAAGTGTCATCCCCTGCAAGTTTCAAAAAATCTATTTGAACTTGAGTGGAGGAATAGAAATTATATATTTTATTAACGATTGAAAACTTTAACGAGATATGTATATATAGGAGATTGTGAACTAATTGTAGGAATTGAATGAGAGAGAGGGGGGGAAAAGAAAATCAACACACACACAGCGGGAAGACACAAATACTAGCAAACTACCAAAAATATGATGATAGAGTGAAAATTGTTTTAATATGTAGTTATATACTTAAGGACACAGAAATTATGTTATCAAATGCCGATAAAAAAATATTAGTAGCTTATTTTGCATGCCTTTATTTGTTCATATTGTGCTTAATGAACTTCATTTTTCAAATAGGGAATTCGGATTTTTTAAATAAGCCTAAACGAGGAAAATTAGTATTCTAAAGACAAAAGCAATTATTTAAATTTGGTATTTAGAAAAAGGAATTCTAAAAGGTCCTTCGACTGGAACTATAACTTATGGATTGCTTACGCAAGGATTTATAATGAAATCCAACAAGATGAGTGCAATAGGCTAAATTTATGACCGTCACGTGATAAATACAATAACGTGTTCTCCACTAAATTCAGAACTAATTTTATACTTGTACTTGTTGTTCTACTTCTAAAATTTAGGTACAATTTCAAATTGGATAATAGGGTAAACATGTTCAAATATTAAAATTCTGCAAAAAGTTTTTCAAAATTTAAAAAAAATGCGTATATTTTTAAATCAAGTGCACTTTATTTACCTATAAAGCAGCGTTTCTCAAACTGTGGGGCGCACACCCCTTGGGGGCGTGATAACTCTACGAGGGGGGCGCGAGCACATTGAAAAGTCGAAAACAAAATATTATTTTTAAAAAAAATGACTAATTTACTGTGTGAAAGTAAACAAAGTACATCCTGACACAATAAAAAATAAAATAGACATTTACACTGATTACAAATTTATCAGTACTGCACACAGTGTTTTATGATTAATTTAACGATACTCAATTCAGAACAAGTTTAATAATTACCAGCAACCCAAGGGCTTGCCATACATAAAATATTCAAAAATTAATACTTATCTTGATAATTAATCCTTTAACTGCCGATCAAAAGTTAAGCGATTCGCTCCACAATGCCGCCCTTTCCTCGTAGGCACGCGTGCGTGATGTAAGGGGGGATGAATAGGCAAATCCTCTGAAATGAGTAAATCCTTCGCCAACACTGTCAAGTTCCTTTTATTACATTCCAAAGCCTTCCGAATAATTTTATGGATAGCAGTGCACAGAAAAGATCGTACTCCGGAAATACGTACATATACGTCCGGGGCGATTAACGTTTTGGCTGAACGAGCCGTTTATATACGTCGGTGGTACTTATGAGGTTTAAATCGTATTGTAGTTATAGCATCAAAGTATAGTATTTCTTTTTATTGAATTAAATACATTGGTACTGTATGGAAGGGGGCGTGATGACAATTATGATTGAATATTGGGTCGCGCGCGCGCGCCAATATTGAAAGTTTGCGAAGCACTGCTATGAAGAATTATTATTGTTTACAAATACGTATTTTTTTAGAAAACGTTGGCATCATCGAAGCTCACAAAGGATTGGCAGGAAACACGTGTTGAATTTCTGAAGCTATTGTGCATCTCGCGTTCTAAAAGTTAATTAAATGTACAAGAATTTTTAGAATAATTTTCTCTCTCTTATTTATCTATGTAAAAAAAGTGTAAATTATTAGGTGCAAGAAAAGTAAATTTTTTATTTACGTAATTTCAATTTTTTTAATTATTAATCGTTATTGGTTAATCAGCAAACTTTTTCACAGTGTTTTCTGACTGTTAAAGGAGTTTATAGCTTAAGAAAAAAATCATTTTTATTATGATGATGCTTTTGCTGAACTTTGAAAGCTAAAAAACCTTTTGATTTTCACTTTTTACCAAAAAAAAAATCCGCTCTGGAAGAAACATCCGACATCTTATCCCTTCCTTTGATGTTTTTCTCTTTCTCTTATATATATCTCCTTTTCATATCTTTTCGTATAATTTCTAACATTTACTAAATTTTTTGTGTTGCATTTAGATTAGGTTTCTGCCCCTCCCCCTTCCCCCTTCATGAAATGAGTATCGTTAGGATGACATTCCGGTTTTCCCGCGGGAAAAACAGGAAGTTCCGGAACTCTTCGGAATGATGCCTTCTAAAAGTGATCAGGGACTTGGAAGGCGAAATCTGAAAAAGATGCAAATAAATCAGGCGCCATTTTTTGAAGTGTTTTCGGTCTTTCTTTTTCCAAAACCCAATAGTGGTAACAAAAAGAATGCTTTTTTGAAAGAAATTGATTATTTGAGCATTTTTTACATTGATATGCAATCTTTCCCGTATTTGGCGGGAAATTCCTTTGGATTGTAAAGTTTAAAAAAAAAATTTTTTGGACAGTATTAAATAAAGGAGAAGGGAGAGTTTCTCAATTGACGTTTTGTATTTTGGCTGGAAATTTGACTGAAAGGTTCTGTAATAATTCCCGTTAACCCGCGAGTGGGCGCGCGGGGCACAAAATCACCCCAGGCTCACGAAATCGTTAATTCTAGGAAAACTATTTATTTGTTACCAATGACTTTGACAGTATCCTTTTATATGACAGTGTGAATGGTAATTAAAATGCATGTGTCACATATTTCCTTTTTTGTTAGGAGTGGCAAATGTTTTTTTACAATCTTAAGGTATTTGTTTTGACCGAGTTCCCCACCCGACCACTTTTATTCCAAGATATTTTCCATAAAAAAGGTATATATTTTTCCCCTGTGAACAACTTAGAGGTTTTAATTGGGGTGTACGACTTATTGGTTGTACGACGGTATTAGTGGCTGTACGACTTATTATGGTTTGTAAATGTAAATGAGCAGAATATTTATACAAAAAAAAAGAAATGGGCACCTGTGATTTCCCTATTGAAGGAAGTAGGAAAGGATTAAGTAAAGGAAGAACCTGCTGAGATAATGCATATTAATCATGATAGAGAAAA